GCATGGGGGCAAGACTCACCAGCCAGACACCCAGGAAACAATTCTCTGTAGTAACTCAGATCCCACCCCATCTAACATCCATCACAGGCCATTGGGCATATTTACCGCTAATAGTCAAAGATCAATTAATTGCCAAAATTAGGCTATCCCATCATACCATCCCCTCCATAAACTTATCAAGCTTAGTCTTGAAGCCAGTAAAGTGGCAGTCGGGTAAATTCGATAATTTGAAGCCACATTTTCTAAAGCATTCAGGGATGGATTTTCAAATGCTCGGCGCTGATAGACACTTGAAGAAGAGCTCTGTGTAAGCTTGAAAGTTTGTGTCTCTCACCAACATAAATCGGTCCAATAAACGATATTACCTCACCCACCTTGTCCCCCAGCACTGATAGAGACACTTAAACTAAGGGTCAGTTTTTCCAAAAGTGTTGAGCACGCAGCAGCTCCCAGTTTGAGCTCCTCTGAAAATTTGGCCCTACCTGTGGGTGCTGAACTCTACTGAAAATTGGCTCTGTAGTTAGGGTGACCAGATGTTCCGATTTTATAGGGACAGTCCCGATTTTTGGATCTTTTTCTTATATAGGCTCTTATTACCCCCCACCCCCGTCCCGATTTTTCACATTTGCTGTCTGGTCACCCTATCTGTAGTCATCTGTCAGTAATGGTTATTATTGACTTCCATCTTGTGCGAACATTATGCCAGTCCTTCCCCAGGAGAAGGAGACAGAAGCATGACAGAAGCATGAGTGTCGTGATGGGGAAGAAAAGGACTTAAAAGCGGAGGAAGGGCTCCTTGAACTAATATATAAACCCTATAACATGCTCTCTGTGTGGTTTTCCTAGTGCGACAGATACCCTGAATCAGCGAGGGCGCTACTTCTGCTGCTGTCAGAGTTCATAAATACTAATTTATGGACCTTAATTTGTGCATGAAGACTTGGTCATATAAAATTCAATCATTGCCCAGCTGCAGGGCACATGTCAATCAATTGTACTTTGTATTGCTATAGAACAGACACACAGGGGCAGTGTGGAGCAGATTGGAGAAAGGATGGGGAATGTGTCCTCACCATTTCAATGGTGGGGGGAGGGAGTGTCGGGAGAGGAAATAAAGACATTTTGAGTGATTTCTTCCCATTCATCTCTTTACAAGTTCCATGGACCAAGACGCTCAAAGGAAAAGCGAATGAGCGGAGGAAAGGTCTTCCACTGACCTGGAACTTGTGAAAGTTGGGTTCAAATCCTCATTCTCCTCGAAACTTCCTGTGTGACTTGGAACAAGCTATTTATGCACCATTCAAGGACTTCAATGGCACTAACCACATGCTTAGTTCAACACTTGTTCATGGAATCTGGGCCTTAATCTCTCTCTGGGTCTCAGTGTCCCATCTGGAAAATGGAGATAATACTTCCTTTGTTTGTTTTGTCATGGCAGACTGTAAGATCTCTGGGACAGGAACTGTCTCTTACTGGGCATATCTACAGCACTTACTACAATAGGGTCCTGATCTTGGTTTCAGCCTTTAGCTGCTACTGTAATACAAACAATATGGATCTGTCAATAAACTGCCTATCAGCCTTCTTTAACTTTTAAAACAATTCTCTGAAAATGTGGCATTACTGAAACGTAGTAAACAATGTTTTTAACCATAAAGTCTGGATGTCTTTAATGAAACACTGTCAAGTTTGGCAAAATGAAGGGGTTTTTTTTAATTCTTTTTAAATTCTAAAGCATGAGACCAATAAAAATGTAACCTATTGAAAAATTCCAATGAGCATAACTATTCTTAAATGAACAAATGTTCCCTTGCAGCACTAGTGAACCTAAAAGTGAAACTGACATCATGGAGTGTTTTCTTTAAAATGAGGAAAATGCAGAAAGTACATAACCTAAGCAATAACAAGAAAATTGGAGTTTTAAAATTTTCCTACTTAATCTAAAACTGCATTAGTGCTGGACAACTATGCCTGACAATATCTGACATGGTCTCTGTAAAAAAACATTTTCTAAATTATGTGGAAGTTTTGCATTTATTCAGCTACAACTGTACATAGACAATCACTACAATTATTTAAACGTCCACTTTACTTGCTTCATGTAGGGGTTTTGCAGCCTCAGAATAGTGGCATGACAAGTAGAATCACAGTGCTTCTTAAGCAGGTCTTTACTAAGGAAAATAGCTGTAGCTATAGGCAAACAGGTTTCCACACAACTTGACTTCTAGCTTTGTCTTCCTTGCTTACTAAGCACCACACTCTGATTTGCTGCTGATAGTGGCCAAATAATATATGGCAAGTAAACAATCATTACAAGGAGGAAGAGTTGGAGGTGAAGTTTGAGCTAGAGGGGGCTGGCTGCATCTCTTGTTGTGCAAAGAGGTATGGTAATAGGAGAAGAGATGGCCTGGGAGAGAGAGAGAAAAGTGCTGTCTACTTCCCTGGGAACTCCCCATGTCTCTTCCTCATTTAAAGCCAGGCTCTGGGCCAAGGAGCTCCTCTTCCCCTAGATGCTTCTGCTATGGCTCTTCTTGCTGCTTTTCCTCCTCCCATTACTGCTCTTAGGGCAGATGCTGCTCCCTCTCAGGTTGGGAGGCTTTCCCCATCAGCCTCTCCAGTTTCTGTGGTGCTGAGGTGTCCACTCTATCCTCATCAGGAAGGTGGCTCACCTGCCTTTCACAGTAGTTCTAGCCCCCACCCCCCAGCATCTACCTATCTGTTAAAGCCATGAATTTGGAAACTAAATTATGGGGTGTCTGAATTTGCACATACATATGCATACACTTCACTTACATAAAGCATGCTAGCAAATCCTTTAGTTCCTTGTTCCTCCTCCCTCCCCAAACCCCACTACTTCTGCCCTTGAATCTAGCCCCCATTCCGCTCCCAGTACTCTTAGAACTGGCTCCCCCAGGGACCCTTCCCCACAACCACCTCCCCTATCTCTGTTCCCCATGTTCTCCCTTCAGATTCTCCCCTTTGCTTTATGTACACCTTTGAGTTCCAAGTCAAGGGCAGCGTACCATTCTCCTGGATCCAGGGAAGGGATAATCATAGCCTGGTGTGCCATGCAGAACTTCATCTCCTTGAGCTATTTGTTGAGGGTCTGAAGGTGGAGGGTGAGTCTGAGACCTGCCCTGGCTTTGGTATCTGAAAGTATCAGGAATAAAACTTGCACCAACTAGCGGAAAGGGATATGGGGGATTCTGCCAATGAGTTACATTTGCAAATATTCCCTGCCTGCCTTTTTGCCATCTTGCTTTGTAGCAGTGGAGGGCTCTCTACTTCACTCTCACTGCGAAGCCCTCTTCAATGAGGGCAGGATTTTTCCCTTCCTGTGCCCAGAGCTTCCAGTATGAGTCCTCATGTAATTGTGCAGAAGCCTTTTAAACCCTAGATCCAGTATGTGACTCTCTCAGCCACCTTCCCTGAGTTCCTTACTATACCCTGGGTCAGTTATGTCCTCTGAGTTGTTTAAAAGGTCACTGGTATCAATTCAATTGTTCGCTCCCTTTGTTCTCTTTTGGGACGGATCATTTCGAGCTGTGCTCACCTGGGAAGATCCGGTACAATTAGCTAAAGTTATTGCATTAATGTATGTTGTTAATCCAGGTCCCTGGCTAAATGTCTGCAACCCTCCCAGAGAGGTGGCATGCAAGTGAGTGGGAGTGAGGAGGGAGGCTATATAGAAATGTCACTACTGATGCAATTCTACCCCCTACTGGTTATCCATGGAGTGGTACAGCCTCTTGGCTGCTTGCCTGAGTATTTGATTAAAAGAGCTGTGTCAGAATAAAGAGAAAACAGGTTGTTCAGTAGGGGGAAAACAGAGAGGGGGATAAAGGACCTGGGGAGGGGGTAAGGCTGAACAATTAACAGCATTCTTAGAATCAGCGTGGAAGCAGAGCTCTCCTGAACCTGGAGTGTTTTGACTAAATGCGCACACACAGGCACCACAAAGCAAAACACTGGAGTTTCTTTGGAAAGTTCAGTGCCCGTCCAAAAGAATCTCCTGTCGCGTTCGTGATAAAACAGTCACTTCATGCCGGGCGAGACTCATCGCTTTCATTTGCTTTGCCAAGCCGATGGAGGGTCAATAGCCACATGTCTTTTAGGTCTCGTCTCCGCCGATGCAGGATATCGGGAATGGGGGTGGGACCTCCTACTTTTTTCATTTAAAAAAATGAAAAGAGCCGGGGGAGGTAATTTGCAGAGTCATGTGGAAGCAGAGTCACCGTTTTAATTGCGTGCGTGTGTGTAAAGCTCGTGTGTGCAGCAGTACGGGGTGTGATTAGGGATTTAGCAGCCAAGTCTATCCTAAGTTAAGTGAATAATGATGAAAATTACTATTTTCAGCTGAAAATGCCTGTGAGGCATTCATAAGAGCTGATCGAATAATGGACCCCCTGAAACCTGCAGTTTTGCTCACTCCTCTCGTCCTAGCAGGGGGTCTCTTCTTCACTTCCCATCTCAGGGCTGGCTTCACGTTAACCACAGTCCCAGTTCTTTTGCTCATGGGAGATATTTTGCATTGACCCCCCCCCAGAAACAATGCACGAGCTGGAAACCTAATTTGCTTGCAACATGTTGTCCCTAAATCCCTGCAAATAGGACATAGCTGAGCAGCAAAATGGATCAAACAGTTTGATACCGGAAAATACCCTCCGATTTCTCCTGCCCTGTATTTATTGTTGTCAATTCCTAACCCCGGTTTGGTGCAGGAGTTTTGCTGTCCCTTCGGTGCAGAAGGTTCTTAATTACACTGATTTCCCTGTGGGCAACCCTCTATCAGAACCAAAGCCAGGAGTGCAGAATGGGTGTCGCTAGCCGAGGTCAGTTGAAGTCTGGTTAGTGACGGTGTGGAGATGTCTGAGAAAAGGAGAGGAAAAGGCAGGCGTTAGGACTCAGGGGAAATCTCTCGTCTCTGTCTCTCTCCCCCTCCCCCTGCTCTCCCTCCCCCTTCTTCAATCAGTTTGTGCTACTCATCAGATCAGGATAGCAGCTTCAGCGTGGAGATACATCTCCAACTCTCTGATGTACCAATGCAGGGGATATTTGCCAGGCACACAGAGAGACAGCTGCACTGCTACAGCGGGAAGGGAATGTGAACTCAAATAGAGAATGAACCGGATTGCCACTATTGTCTTTCTGGTGCAGCTGTTGCAAAAAGCAGAGGGGCAGGTCTTCCCAGGTGAGTTCATCCATTCTTCACTTGTTCTGTAGGCAGCCCTCGCGAAGGCTTTCAACTTAACCGGGGGCAGAGAGTGAGCCAGCGATAAGGGGGTGGCAATACACTGCGATGTGTCTGTTGGGGGCTGGATTGTATATGGACATTCTGTCCGGGGTTAAGTTTGCCTTTTTGCAGTGATTTGCTTGCTTTGCTCTTCGCGTGCATCTTTTCGGTGTGGTGGGTTAAATACAAAAGCCAGAAGAGAGCTGGATGCAATGTATTGAATTATGTGGGATCTGCCCTACCCTTTCTTCTACCCTTTTCCACCTCGAGCTTTTTTCTGAAGGATCATGGGCTGGAAAGAATAGATTTGTCTCTTCAAAGCCCAGTGGATGGCAAGGAAAAGAGCAATCTTATTAAAAGTCCTTTAGAATGATGTTTGTCTTCAAAGTCATAATAGTGCCTCAGCACTAACTCCCTTTTTAAAGGGTTTATTTTGTTTGCTTGCCTCCGCAGGAGATGTGGGTTTTATATACATATATATTTTCTCTCTCTCTCTCTCTCAAGGGAGGGGTATGTTTCTTTAAAAGTTGTGGCTGGTGTGAAATGAAAGCATCCCTTTCATGCTTGGAGTCAAGACAGTTGAGTCCTTTTTATAGTAAACAGTTGTTCTGAATCAAAGGCAGGGGTGAGCCTTGGGGGAAATGTGCCCCCTCGCTGTAAGCCATTATACGGTACCTTTAAACCAAAGTCGGGCAACACTTTTTAGAAGTTCAGGGGCAGCTTTGCTCCCTGCCCTCCGGGGATCCCAGAGTTTGGATAACTTTCTCTGGCTGGCTGAGATGCTTGGACTTCTTCTTTCACACTTGTCAAGGATGTTGGTTATTTTAATCTGTAGGGAGACTGTTTTAGAGCAGAGACTGTGCGTAGCCTAATAGTAGCTACCCCCGCCCCCCCCCGCCAGTTCCTTAGGTATATCTGGAATTCCTTCAAGATGATAGGTGTCCATTGGGCTATTTTTCTGCCTCTTTCTCAATTTTTCAGGTGGATCAAAAGGGGGAGAGTGGGAGTGATTTCTGCTTTCCCTGGTGGCGTGGAATCAATTTTCTTTTGCTTCAGTTAGCAAATGTTTAAAACAAACACACACACCCTGCCCTCACCCTGTATTTAATGTTTAAGATGAGTAAAGACAACTTCCCTGCTCCTAATTGCCTTTGTGGACTGGAGATGATAAATCTCACCCATTGAGGCTTGGCTATTTGCATTCCAACCCTTCAGCAGGGGTGCCCGGGACGCTGGGGTTTAGTGCTCCTTACATGGTGAGGAATTAAGATGCTAAGAGAGATCAAATGACTTTTATCCGGTTTCTTTAAGATATAAATATTGGGCAGCTCAGCAAATGGGGCCGATGCAATCAGACCCATGTTGTAAAGCTGAAAGGATTTTTTTTTCACTGCGAAATCGTTTTAAAGAAAGTTTGGCGTGAGGCTGGGTGAGTCGGTAGAAGAGCTCCTATTCAGCTCTGAGAGGTACAGGCGCAAATCAACCCGATGCTGTTTAATAACATAACAAATGTATATTTAGATTGCTAGGCAACGGCACATGTTATCAGATTTATTAAAAACCACTGGGAAATGTAACCTTGCTAAATAGCTCCTTTCATGAGTAAAACTATATATGGAGCTCATGGTATTTTTTATTTTTTTTAAATATCCATTTTTAATGATTGTTCTGAATGTGATGTCAGGATATATAGGATGGGGGTTGACCTAAACTGGGGCTAGACCCTAGGCTTGTGATCCCCTTTGATGAATCACTTAGCTCGCATGCTTAGAAAAAAACCCCCGTCTTTAAGTAAAATTGCAAACTTTTTCGTGGAAGAGAGACGTATGTATTGGAGCGAATAAATGATACCATAAAAGGCGCAGAGCAAATGCAAGTGCACTGAAAGCAAATGGCTAATCCTTTCCAAACCAGGATGGAAATATTCCATTATCATTGTTAGCTATGTGGGGAAGCTCGTGTTTGATCTGCCTGATTGTTAATGTCAACTTTCACCTCCCACTTTAATGCCTGCCTTGCTATTCAGAATGAGAAAATGATCTTATTTATACATATAAATATGACTGCCGAGCCACTTCCATGAATGAGGTTATATGGAAAGTGTTGCCTCTTTTTTGATTACATTTAACGGCTGAGTTCTTAATGCCCTGTAACCAATTTGCACAGCTAATATTCTGACAATAAAAGCAAATGTGCAGAATGTCCACGCACCCTGCCCCTCTGTTGGATTTCAATTAAGGATCAAGTTGTGTGAAAGATTCCGTCTGTTGTATCCAATGCACTTCTGCTGTCTTCCATCAGATGGTGCTGTCTTCATAACTATTCGGATGCAAATACCTCTTGACTACTTGCTGATGGAACGATTTTTTAATGCTTAATGTGTTTATTCAGCAGCCTTTTGTTAAACATTCTGAAAAGTCATTGTGCAAGAAATGGGCTGCTTTTGTTTGTTTTTCTGTATGGTAACACATGTAAAAAGCGGGAAGCCAAGAGTTCAGTGTTCAAGGCAAAACAACCCTGAATCCCTTCCTGTCGTGCCCACTTACTTTCCAATGCTGCTGCACCATAAAACTTGGTATCAGAAATACTGGTGGAAATATAACAAATGGTTACGGGTTTCCTGCTTGTACCACTTGTTTGATACTGGGGGACCTTTTAAATCCCTTTGTTGGCCCTTCTCCTTAATACAACTGTTGGGTTGCGCTATTGGTAACGTTTTTCCTCCTCTTCTCTCACCAATTATTTTTAGTTGCACACAATTTCGAACACATCTTTTTATTTATAACACTGCAGATCTGCTCTTGAGGTTTTAAACTCTCTTCTTGCTATAGGTTCCAAATCTAATTAATTCTAGTGAAAAGTGGGTAGAATACACAGCAGTAAAATCCCAAGTGTATCTAGCAACTGCTGATCCTCATTTCAGAAGATAAGGGACTTTCCTTATGGGGAAATACTTTCCCTTAAAATACCTGTATGTGCACGGCACATTTTCTTCTTCCTTTTGACATATGGAATTATCCCTACAACTGTCTTGTGCTCCTTGATATACTCTTCTTATTGCTTGTGGAAACCCTGCAGATTTACAACCCTGAAATAACATTCAGGGAAAAACTGGGACAGTAGGTTGCATGGGGATTGTTCCCCTGAACACAATGGCCACATTAGTTTGACACTATTGTTTCTCTTGATGGCAATCTTGATTATATCACAGATGTCCTACCTTTTACCTTGCTTTGCTATAGTGGAGCTCTTGAGCATTTGGACATGTATGAGGTGGATGTTTGCAAAGATTGATATCAGATCATAAAACCAAAACAACAAATGATGTATTAGAACATGGTGTATGTGGGGAAAGTGAAAAGGGGGGAGGCTGGAGAGAGATTTAGGGGCGATTAATTCATTTACTAGCAGATATGTAAGCAGATTAGTAAATTGGCAGCGAAAAATGGATTTTACAGCATAAGCTACTCTATGTGGCAATTGTTAACAATGTAGCCATTTAACTCACTAATCACTTCCCACTCCCTCTGGGGAACTGTTAGCAGCACAGTTCAACTTTATTTTCCTTCCTGCTGGCTTGATTCCCCCCCCCCCAATAAATGAACAATTAATATTAAACAAGGTGCTTTTTCCACAGCCACAATAAAAAGTCTTTGTGTGGTAAAGCCCAGCTAGTTCTCAACCTCCAGGGCAGAACCCATTGTTTCTTTTGCAAATGACCAACATCATCTACGCCCCACTCCAGCCTATTTCTTTCATTTTAAATTTTAATTGTGGAATCCTGCAGTGTCCTCCCGGTATAGTCCCAAATCCCTACAGTTTACAGTAATGTTATGGGAATGGTTTTGGAGGATTACTATAGAATACTGTAGTATCGTCTTTAAAAAAGGCATTGCGATCTGCTACTCCCAAAACAATGGTGGTGCCAGAGATGTAGATATGAGGCTTTGTGGAATTTATAGAATAGGGTTGGAACAAGAATTGTTTCTTATGGGAACAAGTATTCATGTTGTGTATAAAACCTGTTAACTAAAGAGAAGAAAGGAATATAAATCGATCTGTTCAGTCTACTTAGCCTTGAAGGATTAATCCCTAGATCAGTGTCTCTTCATAATTTTTCCTGTATTGTCTTTCAATGCTCATTATTATTATTTTATTATTTATTATAATTATTAGGAGTGTAATGAGCTGTTCTGACTGGTATCTGCTTTGCTGCTGTGGTTATTTTATTATCTCATTAATAAAGAGATAATAAAAAGAATAATTGGTGAGTGTTGCTTTTGGGCTGAATTGGATGCACTGAATATAGGGAAGAGTGTGGTTTTATATGGCTTTGGATACTGATGTTTGAACATTTTAACCCTAGGGGCTAAGTAAACACCTTTAACTCTGTTTGAAGTCAGCATAACTTGGCATTTCTGAATATCAGGCGAGAGGTGTCTAAAATCAAACACCCAAGATTTGAGGTGATTTGAATTAATTATCTCTGGGCTTATTCACTCATCTGAAAAATAAGAATAATACTTGTCTATGATACTCCAGAGAGAGGTGTTCTGAGATCTGATCAATATTGCAATGCCTTCTGTGATCTGTGGCTGAAAGGAGGTTAGGGAGTGTGTATGCTTATGCAAAGTATTTGTACTATCTATAATGCAAGGTGATGCATTTCCCTGTAATTCTTTGGATGCAAGCAGCTCCAAAACTGCTGCCTCAACTTTCTGTAATCAAGTGGTTTGAAATCTTGCATGTCAGCGTAACTGCAGATGAGGACTTTCTTACTGAAAATCTGAAGAGGGCCAGGTTCTCAGCCCATGGAAGTCCACACACAACTGAAGGTCTGGTCTGGATTGCCCAATGTGAGATTCCCTTCAGACTTTTAATGGTGGCTTGGAAGTTGTGAGTTTCACCTCCATGAAGTGTACAGCTCTTATATTGAATATGTTTGGCATTAGCCAGCC